GCTCGCGCGCGGTTAGCCTCGTTTCCACGAGGTCGAGGAACGGAATCGTCTCGAGGACGCGGCACGCCGCACTCGAGGATTTCGCGTCTGGACGTCGTCGTTCGAACAGCTGACCGGCTCGCGTGTATATACGTGCGCTAATGCGTGTCCGATGTAAATACGCGTTTCGTGGCCGGAGAAACTATTGGCGTACCGCTGCAGGGGCGTCGAACACCGGTTCCTTCTTTCAAGACATTCTTTTCGTCTGCTTTCTTGACAAGTGACATTCCTAATTCTCTTCTCTTTGTTTCCCAAAATAAACGCGTCAGTTCCTGTATACTCAGACATTGGGACTCCGGTCTCATATTTTAAACCACACTCGTTATGTAAATTTGTTATCAAGTATTAGTATCATATAGGTTTAATAAGGACATAAATATACATATAAAAAAAAATGTAGATCTAAGGAAGATTTTAAGAATCTAAAGATCCAAAATGAATCATATAGGGTGTACAATATATTTATAGATATAGGTACATAGTTAAATGTTCTGATTTGAAATACATTTGTCAGTGTTCATACGTGGTTAACATACTCGAAGTTCCACTAGTATCCGCACACGATTATTTATATCCAGTTAAATCATTTATATCCGCTCTAAAGAAGTTTCATAATAAAGTGCACTCGTGATACAAGCATCTCGAAACTTAAGATGTCTGGCATTTTGGGGTGAATTGTAATAATGTTTATCCGGTAATCGTATCCGATCACAGTTTCTGGGAATGACACACGTATTTGTTGTTGTTGGCAATGCAGGTGCACCCTTTTTAGTCGAGGAAGCGTACTGACCCACATTGCCGACGAAAAGGGGAACTGGTGCAGGACGTACAGGTGGTACTTCGGGTCGTTGACCTTTATTGCGTGGCGCCCTCCGCGTGTTTTTCTTTCTCTCTACGAAACCTGTTCTCCCTTTTATTCCTTTCTTGTTTCGCTATTCAAAACTTTTCTCCCCGTTTCACCGTTTTTATCAACATTTTTCACGGAATTTTATTTTTGTCAAATACCTCTTATTCCATTTTGGGGTTTCTGGTATTTATTCCGGAGGAAATCGATTTTATATTCTGTTAATGTATAATTCGCAAGATGAAGTTTTGTTAAATATTTTTTTGATTATTCGCTTTTGTAGTCGGAGTTTAGGAACCTTAAGTGCAGAGTTATTTAGAAATTTTGTGTTTTATAGTTTATATAAAAAGTTTGGTATAGTATCGAGTTTCGCGTTATATATCAAGGTGTACGTGCACGACCGAATTGACAATCGGTCCGCGTAAGATGAAATACAAAAATAGCCGTCGTCGCGGTCACGCGTGCGACCGCGAACTATCAACCACCGAATATAACTCATTGTCGTGACGCGAATATGGTAATTTGGAATATCTCCAAGCGTACTCGACGATTAACGATTTTTAACGGGCCTCTTATGATTCCGATCCCTGATTGCGCCGCAAACTGCTGTTTCTCTGTCAACACCTTGGCTCCACTAATTCTTCTTTAATTGAATTAATTCCTCCAGTAGCTCTCGTAGAACTATTTACGATCAGAACAATAAAATTACCTTTTTATGACTCACGTTATCTCAAGATGTGTGCTAACCGTGATCCAATAAATTTCTGATTATACTTGTATTTTTGTTGGTCCAAGCTATGTCCACATAGATAATATCATGGTACACAATGAATCATAATGTACATTGGATGTTAATATGATTGTAAATGTATTAGATGCTGTTAATCTTTGTTCATCCTGTTTAACTTGTACGATAAAATTATTGAAACACACTGTACATAAAAGTAGTAGCTGAGAGCTTAGAAATTGCAGTCTTAATTCAAATTCATATTAACAATGTTTATGTATCATATAGAAGAATCATATACTTGTTCATGTATATATATGTTCATGTACATCAACATATTAACTGTTCACACTTATTAAATTTGATAATATATGCAAATTCTATAAAATGTATAAAACAGTATATATTCAAAAATTATACCTACTACTTCACTTCAATGTAGTGAAGTCTACTTGAAAGTATCATAATCTTCTCCGCCACGTTTCCCTAATTCCCTTCAAAAATGTCCCATTTGTATTCGTCGCTTTTCATACTTAATGAGCGAACACCGTAGCGAATCTGTCCCTAGGGCCCATGTTCACCAGTGTCACACGTAGCGTTGAAATTGAAAAAGATATCGGTGTCCGTTTCATATGTATGCACCGCTGTGTACTTCGCACAGTTCGTGCATAGAATTGCGGTTGCATCGCGAATGGTGGAAACGCTCGAGGTCAAGTTAGGGTTAAGTTATACGTTGACTTCTATTTCTCGGCCACTGATCGAGCCGCGTGTGCCAGTCAGTATGGAAATTACGTAGCACAGCTGGAACATCTGTCGTGATGGCTTTTGGTCCGGTTACAGCTTCCGGTTTTCGCTGCCATTTTGCATTTACCCTAACAACGTGTTTCGACTGTGGCATAAATGATCTTTCTATTGAACACTCCTGTCGGAGGTTAATCCCTTTGCTTCTAGGGGACTGTTGAATACTTTAGTGGGGTTTAGTGCTCGGTAATTAACCTGTTAACTAAGTTCGGGAGCTACTTGGTAATTTATTGTGAGGGATGTATTATGTTGTTAGAATCATAAGATGTAGTTATTATTTTGTAAGAATTATTCTTACAGTGAGATGTATAAGATTTTATAATGAGAGTTGTAAAACCTGGTCTGTTAATTAAGTTTGGGAGCTACTTGTTAATTTCTTGTGAGGGATGTACACATTATGTTGTTAGAATCATAAGATGTAGTTATTATTTTGTAAGAATTATTCTTACAGTGAGATGTATAAGATCTTATAGTGAGAGCTGTAAAACCTGGTCTGTTAACTAAGTTTGGGAGCTACTTGTTAATTTCTTGTGAGGGATGTGTATACATTATGTTGCTAGAATCATAAGATGTAGATATTATGTTGCAAGAGTCATTCTTACAGTAAGATGTGTAAGATGTCTCTTATAGTGAGAGCTGTAAAACCTAGCTTGTTAACTAAGTTCAGAAGCTACTTGTTAATTTCTTGTGAGGGATGTATATGCATTATGCTGCTAGAATCATAAGATGTAGATATTATGTTGCAAGAGTCATTCTTACAGTAAGATGTGTAAGATGTCTCTTATAGTGAGAGCTGTAAAACCTAGCTTGTTAACTAAGTTCAGAAGCTACTTGTTAATTTCTTGTGAGGGATGTATATGCATTATGCTGCAAGAATCATAAGATGTATACATTATGTTGCTAGAATCATTCTTACAGTGAGATGTACAAGATGTCTCTCATAATGTGCGCTGCTAAACCTAACCTACCTTTAGGAGGATGCTACTTGTTAATTCATTGTGTAAATGTACATCTTGCAAGAATGATAAGATGCTTCTTACACCAAGATGTCCCTCACAACGAGAGCTATGAAATATTCATCATAATGAGCGCTATGAAATGTCTCTTATAGCGAGGTCTATAAAATATGTCTTACGTAGTGATGGGTATAAAATCCTTTATAGCGAAAGCTATAAACTGCATCTCCTATAGTGAGACCTATAAATATTTATGTATGTAGATCAACTGAAAATTCACAGCAGAGATGCTGAGTTTTTAGATATAGAAAATGGCTGACTTAGTGCGCTTGATAAGTTGACGTTTCTTGAGACATTCTTTTATCACGAAATACATATTGGTCAAGCCTTTCAAGTAGCATAACCGAGTGCTAAAAGTTTTCTATACTTGGAGCGTTTTCATGCGTTCGCGTATCCAGCAGTTTTGTAATGAAATCAAACAGCTTACGCTCGAGGCTTTCGCTTAATGACATTACGCAAGCACCATTGCAGATAATCGTCTCCGATTGCGGAAATAAAACTTACATTTTTCGAACTTTCAATTTTGAGAATTCAATTTTCTGGATGCAAATTTTTCAAGCTTGCAAATTTGCAGAATTTCAATGACAAGACTTTCTGAATGTCCACATTTGCACATCCCGAAATTCCGAAACTCTTAAATTACAAACACTAAAATTCCAAAATCTCTAAATTCCAAGATTTCCTAAATGTCCATTTGCACATCTCTAAATTGCAAAACCATCAAGTTAGAATTTTCGCAAATCAACAAATAAAGTCAATCCTCTCGTAGCGTCTTCAACAATCCATGTTCGAAGCAGAGAAAACACGAGATGAAAGTTCCATCGAAGAAAGAGAAATATAAGAAAA